TAAACCCTAAACCCTGAACCAAAAATGCTTTTGAGGAGCAGCTCTAGAGCTCGAGATTCCGAAATAACAACCCCAAGAGCTCTTACCCTTTTTAGGGTTTAGGGTTTGGGGACTGGGGTTTAGGGTTTAGGGTTTCGGGTTTAGGGTTTAGGGTTTGGGGATTGGGGTTTAGGGTTTAGGATTGTTGAAGCTTGTTCACAGCAAGTCGTTGATGCTTGACGACTGGGAAAGTCCAGAGTGCTCAGAAAGCTGAAGGCTCAGGATTCCTTGGCCCAGGGGCCTCAGACTTTGCGTCTAAAGCTTAGGGTTGGTTTAGGGTTTAGGGTTTAGGGTTTAGGGTGTAGTGGTTTAGGGTTTAGGGGTTTAGGGGTTAGGGTTTAGGGGTTTAGGGTTTAGGGTTTAGGGTTTAGGGTTTAGGCGTAAAAACTTTCCTGCTACTAGTCGCAAGCGGCTCTACGAGTTGCAAGAGCCTAAAACCCAAAGCCGGGTTTAGGGGTTTAGGGCTTAGGGTTTAGGGTTTAGGGTTTAGGGTTTAGGGTTCCTAAACAACGATCATCTGAAACTTGACTCGGGCTGCCTGCCGCGAAAAGGACGCCAATGCCCAGGTATTGAAACTGGTCCCCGATGTACACCTTGACAGATTCAGCGCATCCGGGCTGGCCCCGAAGGACGAGCCTCACCCTAAACGCTAATCACTACGCCCTGAACCCTAAACTGCGTAATGTAAGGGCCTTAATAATTACCTACATTATTTTGGGGGGTTCCTTATTTCAAATCTAGTATACTATACCCCAAAACCCTATTCTAATTATTCGGGCCCCCTATATTAATGTTTGGGAGATTTTCTTGGAAGGATCTAGGATTTGGCACGTCAGCATTCAGGAGCTTTGGGTTCAGGCCAGGCTTTAACTCGTCGAACAAACAAACCTGAGGGTTAGGGTTTAGGGTTTAGGGTTTAGGGTTTAGGGTTTAGGGATTAGGGATTGGGGTTTAGGGTTAGGGCTGTAGCTTTCTGCCCCCAGGCACACAGATCACAAAGACGATGATTGCGAGCTGGAGCCCATGCTGGATCAGGATCCTGGAATGGGTTCTTAGGGCTTTAGATTCGGGCTGATGGTTGAAAGGAGCTTTCGCTTCGATTTTCTTCATCTTTGTCATAACGTGATCTACACGGGGTCGAAATGCTTCGATGTAGATTTCGGTTTCGGTTTTGGGTGGATTAGCCCTGAAGCCCTAAAACCAGTGGCAAGACGCGTTGTCTTTCCCATTAAGCCTCTTTGCCAAGCGCACCGAGAATCCCAGGCAAGAAATGAGTTTGCTTGTCTCGGCATTCATGTTTCACTGAGCACAAGGGAATTAGAATGGCATGCACATACCCTTTTGGGGCCTCGCAGCAAAATGGGTTGGGCCGCCTAAACGAAGGCTCTCGAGCCTCGAAGCGAAAAGCCCCAAGCCATCGACGTTCAACCCTCAACCAAACCCAAGCCCAACCTTAGGGTTTAGGCACCTGTCAAGAGGGCAGGCAGGCAGCCCTTGTCAAACCCTAAACCCTAAACCCTAAACCCCAAGCCCTAAACCCTAAACCCTAAACCCTAAACCCTAAACCCTAAATTGGTTGGGGGATACACCCCTTGTCAAGACGGGGGCCGGCTCCAAGTCGTGAGGGTTGGGGGGTGAATGGCGCTTGTCTCCGTGGGAGGTGCCCTGGAGGGGCCGGCCGGCATGGGTTAGGGTTTAAGGTTTAAGGTTTAAGGTTTAAGGTTTAAGGTTTAGGGTTTAGGGTTTAGGGTGCCTGTCGCCTCGCCTATCCTGGCTCCGCGTACGCGTTCTCTGTCGCAGCTCGGGCCGCTTCGGGGTCTGCGGTGGCGGTTGTCGAGCCCTCAGCGAAGACTTTAGGGTTTTTGGGCTTAGGGTTTAGGGTTTGCCGTGGAATAAAGCGTTGGCGAAAGTATTTGGCGACAGCGCGGCTTCGGGTGTACCGCAACATGGCGATTAGCTGCTCCAGCCTGATGGTGGCGGGCCTATTTTGTTCACTCACCCCACGCCGTCAGAGGCGACAAAGCCACCCAAGCCTAGGGCTTAGCTCCAAACTCATTCCATTGGATTCTCTCTTTCTGCAAGCTTTCTTTCTTAAGGCAATGCGTCATGGAATGCAATGCAGACATCGAATTTGCGATATGGCTGGAGTCAAGTCCTGGAGCGAGGAAGCGGCGGCTTTTCAAAGTCCAAATCGAGTGTAAGGGCAGGGTGCCGAAGAATTGGGCCAGCTCCCCGCCAAAAACTCGCAGGGCCCTTCTGGGGTCCTTTTTTTTGCGCGGGGGCCAAATCGCGCAGACCGGCCTCTGGTAGGGGCGGCTACCGTCCCCACGACTATAGAGAGGCGTATAGGTTCGCTGTCGAGGGGCTTCAGCGCCGCCCACGCACGGATGTGGGCGGCCGAAGCCTTCAGTTTAGAGGTTTAGGGTTGAGGGCACTAAGTCTTGAGCCCGTACAGATCTGGCACCCAAAAACACCACAACCACTGGGTTGCATCCATCTCAAGCGCTTCATATAAATTCCACGTCCGGAAACCCCAAACACCTAAACAGCGGAGATCCCCAAACAGTGGAGGACCTTACCGCAAACACACCACTCCGAGTGCCCACGTGCGCTCGAGCTTCCTGTGCGCACCCCCGTGTGCGCATACCACCCGGGTCCGCGGGGCCAGAGGACAGAAACGGCCACTTCGAACAGCGGGGACCATGGACCGGGAGACTACCAAGAGATTTTAGGGTTTAAGCACCCTAAACCCTAAACCCCTAAACCCTAAAGCCCAAACCCCTAAACCCTATGCCTTAAACCCGCAAACCCCAGAGACCACAAGAGGAATCACGAGCACTGGGAGACTCAGAAATAGCAGCCCACCAGGAGACAAACACCAGGAGACCAGGGTTTTGGGTTCAGGGTTTAGGGTTTAGGGTTTAGGGTTTTAGGGTTTTAGGGTTTAGGGTTTAGGGTTTACGGTTCTGGGTTTAGGGTTTAGGGTTGTGGGTTTAGGGACCAGAAAACCACCACCGGCAAGGAAGGGGACCATCAAGAAACCACCAGGAGACCACTAGGAGTCCATAAGAATCTGGAGACCAGGAGGAGAACGGCAGGAAAACGGAGGGAGACCACCAGGAGAACATCTTTGAAAGCGCTATTATAAACATCCGTCTGATAGAAACTCTACACCCTAAACCCCTAAACCCTGAACCCCTAAACCCTAAACCCTTAAACCCTAAGCCCCGAAACCCCTAAACCCAGGATCCAGGCGTCGCTCTCGCTCGGATTGTC